GGAGGTGACCATCTTTGTTTGAGCTCGTGGTGATACTCAAGTGTGCTGGGAACCCCAAATGTCTGGCTAAAACAGGGCACAGAATCGTCTTCAGCAGTTGAATAAGGTCTACTGGTAATGCAATAACAAAAATGAACACAAACATCAACACAACATAAAGAAAGTATTTACAAGCACTCTCGGTGAGGAGAGCGTAACCTGCGGTCTGGTGAGAGACTAGAAGGTTCATCCACCAACTTAACCGCTTGGGGAAGCGCGATAGGAGAGGCTAGAGCACCCTAACCCAATTACTAGCTTTGTTGAAAGGGAAATTCTCCTTTTGACGTTATATAGTGTTAGTACACGAGGTTTGCGCATAGCCTTATGGGCCAATTTAAAAAAAAAAAAATAATTGTTTGGCACCTTAGGTGTGTATTATAGAACTAGCAAATTGGGCAATATGTCAATACCGCTGGTGACACTGTCCGAGGGAGAACAACGAGGCGCTAATTATTAAGAATTGTAACGCAGCCCTATTGTTGCCCTGCCCTTATCTTACCACCTGGAAGGTAATAAATGTTAGTGAAGTATGCTCAATTATTGCTTTAGTATTGTGTCGGCCCCTGTTCACACAGACACAAGCACCACGCACTTGGGCTATACGGGGCGTTGGGTTGGATGACGCTCATAATGAATCCCGGTGCAGGTATGAGCATATGTATGTACCGAGTTACCAATAAAACCCTTATCGTGGGTTATATGTTAATACATCTATACTATGTCACCTGCTCTATAGCCCTCTGATGTCCACTTCATATATTATGCCAGAACGCAAGTCCTATTTTGGCAATGCAACTGATTGCGAAATGAGGGCTCAGAAGGAGCCGCAATTGTATACAGAGAACGAAAGTTCACCCTAGACATTTATATAACCTTTATAGACATTTTTGTTACATTTTCCGTATAACTCTTAACTGTTTTTTTTTTTTTATTTAAAAAAAATGTTGATCCTTGAGTGAAGTCTGCAACTGGGACAGTCCACAACGAGTCTATAAGCAGATGTCAGAGAACTCAGGGAGGGCCTGCCAGTTTCGGAAAGGTCCCTAATCCACAAACCTCAACAGACAGACTTGACCTCGTAAGGTGAGTAGCTGAAGACAGTCCCTGTGATCCACTTGTTAGGTTCTCTTCTGTGATCCCACCATGGACCACTCCGGCAGAACCCTGGGTGGGGACACTTGTGCTGGTGGCTCTCCATCAGGATCACTTCATAGGCCCCACTCCTTGATTTTGCTGAGCCCCACCTCCGGTTCCATAATCGTATGAAGGGAGCCGCTCTTCCATATTAGGAGCTTCATTGGGAAACCCCAGCGATAAGGGATTTTGTGATTGCAGAGGGTCTTCATTGTGGTAAGCAACTCTCTCCTTCTGGCCACTATGTTCAGCATAGAGGTTCAGATTTTGTTTCGGCTCTGGAAACTCTTGCATCTTCCTGGTAACTTTTGTAGGGCTTCCTTTGATTTAGAATAGTGGAAGCATGCCACTACATCCTGCGGTGTGGCAGCTGTGAAACAGGCAGGCCTTGGCAGGCGATGAGCTCTATCCAGCAACCACGCTGTGTCCTCTAGTTCTGGTACAAGTGAGTGGCACAGTGCTTTGATGTAGGTCGGGAGCTGGTCTGCGGTTACCGAATCTGCAATGCTGTGAAAACAGGCGTTGTTCCGACAGGACCTGTCCTTAGTGTCAGCCAGTTTGCCTTTCAACGTGGCGTGTCTTCTAATCTCTGGATCCTATTTTCCACGTCATTATGTGCAACGCACAATTCTTCTGTTTTATTTTCAAGATGGTTGGTCCTCTCACCCAAATCAGCAAGGTCTTTGTGGATGCAGGCTGTAATTAATTGGAAATCCTTCTGAATCGTTGTTCTGAGGTCTTCAAGCATTTTGTATATGCTCTTTTGCGTCACGGTTTTGCCCCCTAATGTGTCTGGGGTAAGATCCGGTTCCGAAGGGTCTACCAATAATGGCGATTGTGTGGCTGAGTCAGCGCCATCTTGGTGCGCTTTGTGGCAGTCTTTTCTCCCCCGTCAGAACAGCTAAATGATCTTCATTTGCTTCGACTGTGACATATTCAGTGTCTGGGCACTTTGCTTTTGTTGGAGTTATGTTTTTTTGGAAATCTGTGCTTATATGTAGCTGTGAGCCATGTTAGATGCGGAGCCCTTACTCCATGCATCCGTCCCAACCGGTAGTCAGCCACGCCCCCTGCATTTCACTGGTGGAGTGCTGGAATTCCTCGGTGAGAACTAAGAGCATCTATTGACGGAGTATAAAGATAACAGACGTGACTACTCTGGCTGGAGAAGCGAAACTTGCTCTTTTTGCTGATGATATTCTTATTTTCTTAAAAAATCCAACTCAAACACTATCACAGCTGCTAGGACAATGGAACACATATGGTAGCGTGTCCTACTATAAAAATAACATACACAAAACCCAGGCTCTACCAATGAGGCTCTCAACAGACCTCCGGAATCAACTGCAGGTGATACACTCCTTTGATTGGCACAAATCCTCGATCACTTACTTGGGTATCAAATTAACCAAGTCTAATAACATGCTAACACAAGAAAATTATAAACCAATGCTTCACAAACTAAGGGAACAGCCACATAAATGGGGGGGGGAGTGGAGGTGTCATGGCTGGGCCACACACATACTGTGAAAATTATGATTTTACCACACATTCTATATCTCTTTCCGAACACTCCACATTGCTCTCCCAAAAAAACTCCTTAAACAATTTCAAATGCTCATATCTGGAAGAAAAAGCCCCCAAGATTGCCACAGCACCTTTTGTGGCTCCATCCCAATAAAGGCGGCCTAGGAATTCTAAACATTACCAAATATTATAAAGCGTCATTAATATCCCAAGCCTTATGAGTACTGACATCCTCTTCTCAACCGCTTTGGCTGCATTTGGAGAATGCATGCTCGGCCCCAGATGTCGTCTCACATCTTCTCTGGACCACCGCCCTATCAAACCCAACAAAACATAAAATTATGTTACCAACTACAAAGGCAATACCCTCCTTGGTGGGATCGGTTTAGTTAATCACACTGGCTCCCTTGACGGCGCTATCATCTACTACAACTGATCTTTATTCACAACCATGGATTGACAGAAGGGTGTATCGGGTGGGGACTCTGTGTACAGAATCGGGAATCAAACCTACAAAAGGACTACACATTGCCTAGTGGGGAACTTTTCACAAATCGCAGACTGAAACACATAGTCGAAACAAAACAGATTAAATATCATGCCACATCCAACCTGAACCTCTTTGGCGGCACGTGTTTACACCGAAACCTCAAAAATCTTTTGCTGTGCTACAAATCTCAGATAAACTCAGAAGAATCACAAAAACTTCCATACATGTTAAAATGGGAAACAGAACATTCCCCTTAGCAGAGTGGTACTCAGCTATTCAGGTGACCAAAGCCTCCTCAAGTAGCTTATCCCATTGGGAAGATATTGTAAAGCCATGATGAGGTGGTACCTGACCCCTACTAAACTAGCTCTTATGTATCCGATGGTCTCTGACGCCTGTTGGAGATGCAGCACACACCAAGGCACATTCTACCACATACTCTAGAAATGCCCTAACGTGCAACCATTTTGGATGTTAATCGAGGAGTTTATCTCCTCTACACTATATATCAAGATACCCCCTCATCCCGGAATGTTTTTTATTGCACATAATCCCAAACATGAAAAATATGAAACACAAAGTGGTTGCCTTACACATTCTACACATTCTACAAGCCGCCAAAACTATCGCAGCGTGATGGAAATCCACAACTGCCCCCACCATGCAGGAGGTTCTAGACAGAATAGTCAAGACTAGCCATTATGAAGAAATTTCAAATTGATTGAAGGGTAAAGAATTACAATTTGAAAAGGAGTGACAAAGTAGGTTTGGATTCCATAAGAACCAAAGGTCTTAACCAAAGGATCAGGGTTAAATCACAGTTACAATTGAGAATCACATCGACCGCCCGCTTGGTCGTAGTAAATACAGAATTAGGGTCTACTGGTTTCACACACTTAGTATAATAGTTAAAGTTGGTATTTACGTACCTCATTATATTCCGTGTTGTGTACATATCTCTTGAACTTGATGTTATGCAGGATTGCAGTCATAATCTACAGCACAGCAGTGCACAAGGAGACAAAGATAACATACCTATATGTACTAAACCACACTCTGGGATCCAGACCACCTAGGCACATAAAACTCCCCTCCCTTCCTTTATTAAGAATGCAAGTCATCTACACTTAGAGTAAACTGGAGTTTTTGAAGTTGCACCAGAGGCCTCGGGGAGCTGACATGCGTGCTGAGGGTCACATGGGGGCCAATATCTAACATTCACATTCCAAATGCTTCATATTTCTGTCACTGGACCTGACACCAAATTTTGACTAGGCTATTTGCTGGTAAAGACTTAGACGTGAGGGGACAATACCATACAGGTTTAGGCATAAAGTCAACTCAAGCCAAAGTCACAGGCCGAGACCCATAATCACAAATGTATGCCAAGTAAAGGTCTGTGAACTGTTGATATCCCTCTGTCAGGGCTCGAGTCCTGCAGGAACGCATGGGAACGGCGTTCCTGCACTTTTTCCAAAGCAGGAACGCCGTTCCCGTTACCTGTCCTGCAGGACCGGCCCTGCTACCTGCACAGAGGGGCCATCACACGCTGTGTTCCCTCTCCAGCTATAACTCTCGCGAGACCCGCGGCTGTTACCATGGCAACGCTCCGCACAGGCGAGTCTCGCGAGAGTTAGAGCTGGAGAGGGAACACAGCGTGTGATGGCCCCTCTGTGCAGCGGCTGGCTCCCTCCAGCATACCACCGGACCACCAGGCGATCTCCCCCCTCCCTGGCAAGGTAAGAAGCAGGGAGGGGGGAATAAAATAAATATTATACATAAAGTAAAAAAATGCTTTTCCCCCCCCCCACACACACATCATCCAGCACTCACACTCTCACACACCCATCATCCAGCACTCACACACACACACACACATCATCCAGCACTCACACACACACACACACATCATCCAGCACTCTCACACACACACATCATCCAGCACTCACACACACATCATCCAGCACTCACACACACACACATCATCCAGCACTCACTCACACACCCATCATCCAGCACTCACACACACACACATCATCCAGCACTCACACACACACATCATCCAGCACTCACACACACATCATCCAGCACTCACACACCCATCATCCAGCACACACACACATCATCCAGCACTCCACACACACACTCATCCAGCACTCACACACACATCATCCAGCACACACACACCCATCATCCAGCACTCACACACACCCATCATCCAGCACACACACACACCCATCATCCAGCACTCACACACACCCATCATCCAACACACACACATCATCCAGCACACACACACCCATCATCCAGCACGCATACACACCCACATCATCCAGCACGCACACACCCATCATCCAGCACGCACACACACACCCATCATCCAGCACGCACACACACACCCATCATCCAGCACACACACACACCATCATCCAGCACGCACACACACACCCATCATCCAGCACGCACACACACACCCATCATCCAACACGCACACACACATAATCCAGCACTCACACACACGTCATCCAGAGCGCACACACACATCATCCAGCACACGCACACACTGCATTCATTATACACACTCTTCACTCACTACAAACACACTACATTCACTATACACCCTCTGCATTCATTATGCACATTCTGCACTCACTACACACTGCATTCACTATACATACTCTGCATTCACTACAAACACACTACATACACTGCATTCATTGTACACACTCTGCACTCACTACAAACACACTAAATTTATTATGCACACTCTGCATTCATTATACACACTCTGCACTCACTACAAAAACACTACATTCACTATACACACTGCACTCACTACAAATACACTACATTTATTATACACACTGCACGCACTACAAATACACTACGTTTATTATACACACTGCACTCACTACAAATACACTACATTTATTATACACACTGCACTCACTACAAATACACTGCATTCATTATACACACTCTGCACTCACTAAAACACACTGCATTCATTATACACACTCTGCACTCACTACAAATACACTACAATTATTATTCACACTGCATTCACTACAAACACACTACATTCATTATACACGCACTGCACTATATGCATAGGAGTGTAATTTGTATTTTATTTTATTTTTTAAGGGGGGGGGAGGCGGGAATCTTGGGTGAGTTCCCACACTTTTTTCCCCAGGACTTGACCCCTGCCCTCTGTTATAGTTGCCATGTACAGAACAATTGTGAACTTTTGTGTATTGTATATTGCTGTGTGAAACGTGTGACATGTAACCTGCAAAAACAATGTAATGTGCACTTAACCTGCAAAAACTTTCAATAAAAAAGATCCATGCAAAAAAGGTGTTTAAAAAAAAAAAAAGTATGCTACATCAGTGTAAAACATTTTTCTTGTGACCCCAAACCTAACCACTAACTTAAATTGAAACAGTAATCTGAATCTCCTAACCCTAACTCTTAATTCTAGTCCTACAATGTAACCTCCACCCCAAATTTTACACCAAACCTAAACTTTCTAATTAACATAATTAAATTGTTTTGCAACTTTCAAAATTGTTATTTAAATCCATTTCTGTCAAATTGCTATTTTAACCTTTTTGTAATTTGTTTGAGAAATGTTTTGTTTTTGTAGCAAAAGACAAATCAGGTTATCACAGGCATTATGTCAGTAAAGTATCAGCAGTGTAGTGGTATGCAGAGGTACAGTGATAATTTGACACTCACCGGTCTCCAAAAAGGTAATGTGAGATTTGCAGGTCTCGGCAAGTATAACTTAGTACTCGCAGGTACCCAGCTAAACCGTGAGAAATTAACCATAAAACCTGGGGGGTCTGATGTCTCAGGCTAACAGGCCATCCGGTCCACAGGTACTTTGCATTCCACCCGTTCCCAGGGTGCGATGGGGGCCAAGCCGTTGGAGTAACTTTTTTTTATTTCATAATTTTCTTATTCAATTATATTGAAATTATAGATAATTTCAGTGCTTTAGCTAATCTCTAAATTTAATCTTATAACAAGACTCTAAATCTGACCATCAAAAATAATCACAAAATCAAATCCAAACCCTGACAATAATCCCAATTCTAAACCCTTAATTTTAATCCCAAACAACAAATCTTATTATAAACCACAACCTTAATCCTAAACTCTTAAATTAGAATGCCTACTTAAAGGGACACTATATATGCACCCCGACCACTTCAGCTCATTGAAGTAGTCTGGGTGCACTGTCCCTGTCAGTTCAACTCTGCAATAGTAATTATTGCAATTATTTAGAAACTGCAATAATTACATTGCAGGGTTAACTCCACCTCTAGTGCCTGACTACCAGACAGCCGCAAGAGGCGCTTTTGAGTCGTTCGGCAACTTTTCCTGCGCATTATTTTTCAGACGACATCGCGGGAGCAGGAGCGAAGGTGGAGCTTGACCTAGCACCGGGGTACATCGGCGCTGGTTTCAGGTAAGTGACAAAAGTATTTCTAACCCTTTGTGTGCTGGGGGGGATAGGCTTGCGAGCGAGGCGGGCACATTATGCCAGGGATACTATTTTGCATTCCTAGCATACAGTTTCCCTTTAACCTTATAAAGTGATTTGAAGTGTGGATATTTTCATGGATGATGCTTTTTTCATTACCCTGAGTTCCCTTGCCCATCTCATTTTCAGTTGCCCTCCTCATTTCCATAGCCCAGCACACACTCTCTCTTCTTCCACTGTTCAGTTCTTTCACACATTGCATCATATGCCTAAATATCCCCATTCTATAATTGTAAAGCACTCTACTACTGCTACTAATAATGCGATGATTGCTCTTTTTGTTTAAACACTATAGCACATGCCGTTTCTTGTTGTTTTTTTGTTATCCTGCCTATTTCACAATAGTTTCTTGTGTACTATTAGTATTCAAGTTTTATTACTTGTAAATCCGGAACCAAGATATCGTCTGAGCATGTGCCAGCTTGTGTACCTTCATTTCCAGTAATGAGCATGTTATGAAAACACTCAACAATCAAAAATGTAGTCTTGCGGAGCCCAGCCTTTCCCTTTAAAGCAGACAATGGACATGTCTTCTCACGTCTTGTATATTTTTTATTGTTCTATGCAGCATTCCACGGTTACACCATTTCATTATTTCACTGCACGATTTTAAAGGGTCACCCACCTTTAAACAGAATTGGGCTTCATAAAGTATAAACATTATACAATTGTTCTTCTATAATATTATATATGTGTATGTAAAAACAAAACAATTAATATTAATAAAAATCCACTAATGAGATCTTTCATCCATCTGATAAGGCAATAATTTAAATGCTTATGCCAAACTGAGAGGAAAACCAAATAGTGGCTAGCACGTGATGCAGAGATTTAAAGAGGAAATTTTACCACTATCCTGGAACTGGACAACTCCATCTTGGCTCTTTGTCAATCATTGCCCTCAGCATGTTTTAGCCAACGGGCATGCGGAGAACAAACAAACAAGAGGAGAAATGGAAACAATGTTTCTATTTTTCCACCTCTGATATAATTTGTGCACTGGATGTGGCTGGGCTGAACTGGATTATGTTGACAATTGTTAAATCTTTAAAGGAACCCTCTGGACAGCATAAAAATATGTGGGAAGGAAGTTGATATGGTGCCGGCTTACCTTCGGGGGTTAGACCGTTAAGAAACCACAACCAAATTACCCATAAGGCAACATAGCTGGCTACATGGGACCAGTGCTCAGAAAGGTCCAGCAGCTTACTACTCTGACCAAGCTATCCCAATTATTTGCAAAATTTTGGTCTAATCTCAGTAGCCAGCTGCAGTCCTCAGCAACAGCGAACCAGATGCTGACCTTGCCTCCAAGTATGCCGCCAAACGTCTCTTGCCCTCTGGTGCGGTGCAGGGTTATACGCCATTAACGTTCCGATACATTTTAGACATAAAATTGTGATAATATAAGTTTGACAATAATACCATCTAATTAGAGAGAGATAATATGTAATACATGGAAAGTAGAAGAAAGTAGTTTGGATTTTTTTTTTTTATAATGTAAGCTAATTTTCTAAGAATCGCCATTTAACTGATCGAGAAAAAGGAGAAATGCCTCCTATTAAAGTTACCCTACCCTCCCCTCCCCTTAAAGATAAAAAAAAATGTCTACTTGCAACTTAAGGCATTGACACAAGCTACTAGGTATATGGATTATTTGCCATCACAACTCTTAAAATGTATTCTTTCACAAGCACTTTCCTGCTATTACCTCCCACACTTCTGCGAATGATGTAAAGTACATTTGAATTAACAATACTCTCAGTTCACTGACAACTCCTAAAGAAAAATAATTGGGTCTCATAATAGAGATTGCATAAACAGTATTACATACACGAGGTTAAAGCTCTGAACATTTTTCTTTCAGTTTTCATCTACGGGCTTATAGTTTGTTAAGCAAATTCTGGATTTGACATGCCCCCTTTTTTGTATTCTTAGGGACTAGTGTTTTTTGTTATATGTGACATAGTAACTCACTCGTATAAATGCCAATCCCAAATACTACCTAATAAGCCACAGTCACTTGATTTCTTTGCAAGATGACATATCTTCTTGCATTGGAGAAACAAAGCGGTAGAAGGGAAGTGTAGTACTTTCATTTAGGGATGTGCATGGCACTTACGAAATTCGGCACTTTGGTTCGGTTCGGCACTTCCAAAACTCGGGGTAGGGTTAGTGATACGGTTGGGGTAAGGGGTAGGGATAAGTATAGGGTTAGATTCCTGTCATCATTCCCTTAATTTTACCTCCCTCTCCTGTTTTGCCACTTTTCAGAAATCCGAAGCACTTCGGCAATTGGTTCGGATCTGGACTTCCGAAATTCAGGACTTGTTTCGGTTCGGCATTTTAGCACTTATAAAATTCGGACATTCGGAAGCATCCGAATTGCCGAAATTCATCCGAATTTCAATTCGGACTGAAACGCATTGCACATGTCTACTTTAATTTTTTCCAAGTGACTGCACCATAATTTGGTGTTGAAAAGTGTTTTTTTACTTACATTTGTAAAAGGATTGACGAGTTTTAGAAAAATTTTAACCCCCATGA